GGGGGGGGGCGGCAAGAGGGGAAAGAGTCGAGGCAAAATCCGGGCACGAAAAAATTGCGAACGAAGCGTCGACGGAGTTTCGTGTCAAGATTGTAAATGGAAATTTCTATGTACTAGGTAAAATCTAATTTACCTTAGCGCTTCGGTTTTAGGAAAATTCAAAAGATTTGTCGATTTTCCGCGTCGCCTGTCAAAATGAAATTGCGCTTATTTCGGATTTTCCAGCTAACGCTCGTGCGTGCTATCGTTTCGGCTTTAATTTTGACTTTCCCACTTTGACTCTGTCGGCGAGCGAAAAACACGTTGACGTGCGCACGTGTTGCCGTTGTTTCGCAAAGGGCGGCACTTTAGCCGATGGACGTCCGAGCGGAATTCTTAAAGGGAAAAAATAACGATGGAAATAAAAGAGCTCGCCAGTGGCGTCGATGCTCGGGAAAATAGGAAAAACAGGAAAGCCAGTTGTGTGTATCGACGCGGACGCTCGTACGTACGCAGATGGCGCGAGTGCGAATACACAAACGGCGACGAGCGACAGGCAAATTTTCGCAGCCACTTTTCGTCACTCTCGGATCCATGGACTTTGAAGAGACGCGGTAAAACAGGTCCCTTTGTCTTTTTAACGAGCGAGCGTCGCGACGCCTCGCGTCGGTACGCCGACTACCCTCGAAAAAGAGTCTCTCGTGACGTCGCCCTAATACATTAGTAATTTTGTAGAAACAATATTTTTCTTTTTCTTCAATTTCCTCCACAGCTACGTGTCACCTGACCGAACCCCGAGCCGCAGGACGCTGAAATAGATACTCGCTAAAGTTTCCCCGGCCGAAGTTTCCCGAATGTTCGGTTCTGCTTCGGGGATGATTCGGAGAAATTGAATTCTAACTTTTCGTGCTCTCTCATCCGACGGAGGGCTCTGGCATTAATTAAACGAGTGTCTTCAATTAATACGTCCCAATAAATTTAATTATCAGGGAAGCTTCCCACTGCATCGATCAGGTCAGACCAGGCTCGATGGAACCGACTAATTCCCACGAGCGTAAGACGCCCCGGCAAAGTTTAACGTCTGCGTGTTATCCCGCTCAGGATTGGAGCCTCCTTGCTCTCCGTTTTCGCGCAGTTCGTCCACTGCCATCCACCTTCGTATACCTCGGGCTCATTCGACCTGTCCAGATGTCCTTCCTGGAATTCCAGTGCCGGTGCCCGAATTCCCATCAGAATACCAACTGCTTCCTGGGACCCCTCGATGTCGTCTCGAGGAATTCCTCGGAAGGGGCTGTGTTTAATTTCAATTCGAATTTCCCCGGAGTGACCGATACCGGTGTACGGCCCTGGATTGCCGTCAGCCCCGGCATCCGCAACGTTCCGTGCAGTATTTAATCTTCAAGAACTTCCTCAACTGTTTACATTCAATATCAATCTGGACCGCGCAAACTTGCGTACATATTATCTGTTGGCATTTCTTTGTTGGGTTTTATTGGCTCTTTGTTGGGTATTCTCACGTGACCTTGACCTCTGTAAACGTAGACGCATCTCACTCGGGGCGCAACGGCCTTAAGCGAATCTCCGCCTCGCAGCTCTTTACGTTGACCGTCCAACCGTCCAACCGTCCCAGGAACTCGCGGGTGGCTTCGTAGAAGAGTCAGGCGCGATCCCTGAGGAGAGGAAGATCGCCGACCTGACTGCTCGGGTCTGTCAGCGGCGTCATTAGCTCAGGACTTTAATGGCCCCCACGCGACTCTAGCGAGAGTCCACTCGCTTAGACCTCATTTCTTTCTCTTTATCTTTTAACCTCTTTCGCGGCTGCCAACTGTCAATATGTGGGACCACAAAGCATCGAGGATGTTCCCTGTATGACAGAAGTCTCCCTCTGGCGACCCGCATCGGTTTTAAATAAACGTGACCCGTCCGCATGTAGGTGATACGCGCACGCTACGGATCGTGCCCTAATTTCTCCTCTTCTTTTCTTGCAAACGACTCCGACCCTTTTGCTAATTGGAAGCCTCTGCTTTTGGGGTTAGGGTAGGTTAGGCTTGGTTCGATTCAACTGACGAATCGTAGAACGAAAGCATCGCGATTAAAATTGAATAATTCAATAAAGTTCAAAAGCCGAAAAGGACTTTATGAAACGGCCTTCATCTCCGGTCCATTATTTTATCCGACGAGTCGTCGACCGACCAATTCTTTTAATCTCGACGCCTTTGCCCCACGCACCGTTAAAACCTTTTCTGTTTTCAATAATTAACCACGAGGACTGCGTCCGTTACCTTCCAATCGTCTATTCAAGAGCAACAATTCTAGGGGGCTCCGACTGCTCCGAGGCGAAGGGGAAGTGGAGGAAGAAGCGAAGCTTACGTGATGCGGATACTTATTGGAGATAATACGGCGAGAAGAAAGCAGCAGATGAATTTCGGATACTCCCGAAAGATATGAATAATTTCATTGGTTACGATTAAGGCTGTCTTTTTCTCCCGTGACAGTCGACTTCTTTTATGCATTATTTTAATACTCAACTAGCGCCGCGACGCCACTCATTGTCAGTTAGCGGTGGTTTCCCTTTTTTTTTGTACCGGCCGTTCTATGGAAATCCGTCGAAATGCAAATGTGCCAACGTCGATGCTCCGGCGTCGTCGGCGGCTGGCAATTACGTGATTAAGCGTCGCCGTTTTCGATGGGACGATTCCTTGAAAAACGTCGGCCCCGCATTTGTGCACGTGGCGCTCTCATCGGCGCGAGGAGGAAACACGAGCAAGCGTCGAGCAACGCTCAGGCGCCGTTTTAATTTAGCGATCTGACCGCGAGGAGGCGACCACCCGTAGCACGTAGTTAGGCCGTGATAATTAGCACGAGTGTTCTGCCAATTTCTGCCGGGAAGAGGAAGCAGCAGCGTGGGCCCGGCTCGTTCTTCGTTTGACCTTCCCTCTGTGCGTCGATGAAATTCCAGAGCGCGTGACTAAATAAAAAACAAAGGAAATAGAAACGCGCCAGAAGGCGACGCCCAGTGTCGCGTGCCGTTTGACTATTCCGAAATAGGAACAGCGTCGAAGTAAATGAACGCAGGGTGACAGGTGATTATATTTAGAAAGCCGCGGCGCTATAGTTGGAAGTCGCGAGATTCTTCCTGATGGTCAGCCCCGGTTACGTCGTCCGATGAGAATTCGCCAGATACGCGCTGAGGAAAGTTAACGGGATCCTCTTGTCGAGGGAACGCTGCTGTCGTATTATTTTTATCCGCGAAGACGGTTGCGTCGCTCTGGCGACGATTTCCGCGCTGCCTCCCACGTTCCTGATCTTAGAGCGGCGGAATGTTCCCGAGGCAGGGACAAGAAGACGGGATAGGAAATTCAGAGGAGAATTAGGATGCTCGGGAATAGGAGTAAATGGACCCAGACCATTTTTCCAAGGATTCCTTTAGAAAAATTCACCAGAGAAAATCCCCTAGACAGCCGTACAGTATCTTCCGTATCGTAAAGCCAGAATTTCCAGGACGTCGAATGCGCGTCGCGACGTCGTCGGACGTGCGGAAATGTTGAATCGTGCTAGAATCTAGTATAACGAGAGGAAAAAGAATAACAATAAAAAGACAATAAAGACGACCAAACACTCGAAAGGCTCATGAGAAGCCTAAAAGACATTCGAAGCGAATCGCTCGTGCTGGCAATATCCTCTTTAAACTTATTATCCACGTTTCTAGATCGCGACCCTCCGTGCTAGCGATCGCTCGCGCGTCTGTGCGTCTGTTCGCCGCGTCCCACGATCTCGCAGGCGACTGAGCGAAGGAGGCAGTGAGCCGGCGAGCGATTCACGTACGAGGGGGGGCGTCGGTGGGAAAAAAAAAAAAAAAAAGAAATCGACGATGCCATTCGTGGGAGATCAAAGGTTTCGGTGGCACTGATGGAATTTTTCATACGCAACTTCCCGCGCTCGTTTTCTGCGAAGAAAAACAGAGTCGTTCCATAGGCGGGTACACGTTCCATAAGGCGGACTGTTACACGTCCGGTGTCGGGGAAGAAGGAGAGACAGGATGCTGGAGCGAACGCCGCTCGCTGCTGGCGACGTCGAGGAAGAGTGAGGTAGTCGTGGAGCACCCTTCCTTTATATACTGCTGCCGGTCGTGAAATGCCGAGGAGTGGGGATGAGACATTGGGATTGACTGGTGGGGATATTAGGGCCTACTGCATGCACGTGCATCCGTGCACGTGCACGTGCTCCGGAGTCATAGAGAGACTACGGCGAACCGAAGCCGAAGCGTTCGGATCTGCATCACAATTCCACAATCAGCATTAACCGCTCGTGCTTGTCGCGTGTTCGGTGTTACGTCGGACACGTAGTGATAATTGTGGCTTTGGACGGGATGGAGAGCG